ATGTAGGGCACCCCTAGCAGTACTCGCGCCCCTTGCAGTGCCGGCAGAGAACAGCTATGCGATGTAGGGCACCCCTAGCAGTACTTGCGCCCCTTGCAGTGCTGGCAGAGAACAGCTACATGATATATGGCATAACTAGCAGTACTTGCGCCCTCTGCAGTACTAACACAGAACAGCTACAAGATGTGGGACTTATCTGTCAGTTTCGCTTTGTTTGGGATGTTAGGGCACCATGGAGTTGTGATGTCAGCAAATCTGGGGGTTACAGTGTAGTGTTCTCAGAGCTTTCTAATTAAACTTGCATAATTTTAAACAAACTCAATTTAAAATATCCTAATACATGTTGTCATGACAGTCATGAAAGCCACATAGTATTTTCAATTAAGAGAAGGGATGAACAAAACAGCACATCATTCTAATTTTTTGTGTCTCTAAAATTAATAATGGTTCAGTTGGTTCAGTTCCGGAGCTTGGCTCATTGTGGTGGGTTTGCATGTACTGCCAATGGTTTCCAGGTTTCCCCACACATTCGAGAAACATGAATTAAAGCAAATTGTTGTCTCTAAATAGAACATGATTGTATGATGTGATTGACTTGCATCCCATGCAGGAAAAATGCACTAGATAATTGATTATGGAAAATGTACGGATGGACACTTTGATAAAACTATCCAACAAAATATAAAAAATGCAATAGCTGAACTTACTGGTTTACAGAATGCTAACTGGCTGTTTTTGGTGAACAAGATGCTTGCATGCACTGATCATTGATGACCTCACTTGTTTGTACAAGAGCTCAACATAATAATTAATTTGCACAAATGAATACAATCCAACATATGAGCCCATGTATGGAGAATTCACAAATTATCAAAACACATTTGATTTCACAAAGTAAGTTTTTGGTCAGCTTTCGTTGGTCCTTTATAGCAGATAACTTCACTAACTGACTCACAAATTCTTGCAACTTCCATACAGAGCTCTAATGGATAAACATGTAGAAAATGACTTTGGTCAATAAAATCCCTTGTAGGACCAAAATCCACTAACACCAAGAGGGGCGATATTGCCGGTGCAGCTGGCGTGAAAATACCAGTATGAGGCAGAACAATTCGGAACTCCAACCCTATCCTTCTGGGCAGGACAATGGTGACCAGACTCACCACAATAAAAGAAGATACTGTTCTGTAACCAAAGAATGTGTAAGTGTCTAGGGAATCACATCTGACCTAGTTGCAAGGACTGTGGATCTTGAGATTGAAGCAAGCGAATCAGTAGGCATGCAGAGGTAGTTAGTAATGATTGGGATTCAAGGGAGTATTCAGTCTGATCCTGAAACAAGCATTCTCATGTAAAATTATCCAATTTGATTCAATTATCCAATTTTGAAACAGAGATTCAAGGATGCCCCCTCATATCCTTATTTAGGACTCAGATAACCCTTGCTACTTTAGGCAGTGACCATGATGTCTGTCCATCTTTCTGATAATGTGGAAATTCTACAATTATAATCAGCAACGGAACCTAGCTTGGATGCAGTGAGAACAGCCAATGCTTGATGTGCAGCAGAATTGGTCAAACATATCCTGGAAATGCTGTAGAAGCTGAGCCAAGTTGGCAGTTTCTGGACCTTTCCGCTCATAAATTGCTGTGGCCCCAGCATGGGCTCTCAATGTTAGTAGGGAGGTGACAGAGGACACTCTCACCCTCACTGTGTTGCATTCCTCCGATTGGCCAGTGAACCCCATACAGCACAGGGCATTGGACCATATGAGGTGCCCATCATAGTATTCAGATGTTCTGAATGTCACATTCTGGGCATGTGAAGCGAATGAGAAGTAACCTCCCTCTGAGTAAAGCTCCAAGAAGTACAAGTGTGAAAGATGCTTACAACCTACAGAAGCTGATGACGACCTCCTGCTTGCCTACAAATGACTTGACATGTTCTTCTTCTGCTGAATCCATTCTTTCTGTGATACGACAGGGAATTGCACCCTCAAACGTGCTGTAAAGTACAACCAGGAGTCCAGCAACATTCCTTCTGGAGGCAGAAACTAAACCAAATTCTAGTAGTAAGCAAAACAGTAAAATAAATAGGCTGCAGAGAGCATGAACACTACAGTAACTGCAATTATGCATCCTTGGCTTCCCCTGCAACACCTGCTACTTCCATTGAATGCAGAAAGTCACAAAATTTATATGCTGCATAAATATGAGAGGCACACAGCCAATGGAACACGCTGAACATCCAGACTGGGAGGCTGTTTCATAGTGACCCGAAAAGGGCAATAAGAGAAGAAGAAACCAATAAAAAGACCAACAAACTGGGGAGGGGGGCGGAGTTTCCACCACAGCGTAGTATTTACACCATTTAGCAGTCATATGTCAAGCCCTCTGGGCCTTTATGTGATGGTGGAATCCTGGAAGCCTGGCACCAGCTATTGTTATCACCTGCCTCCAGTAGTTAGGGGTCTGTCCTCGTGCAATAGTGGCATTTACCGCCACTCAAACCATGTTAGTGCTAATGCTAACCTGAGGATACAGTGCTAATGCTAACTTGATGATACGGTGGCTTAGGCTGAGGCTGCTTCTAATATTAGTGCTAATGCTAACCTGGGGATACGGTGCTAATGCTAACCTGAGGATGCAGTGCTAATGCTAACCTGAGGATACAGCGGCTTAGGCTGAGGCTGCTTCCAGTGTTAGTGCTAATGCTAACCCTGCCCCCAAGACTTTGCACTTGTATGACCCGGTGGTAAGCAAAGCTGATGTTGCCATTCTCTCTGATAACCTGGAGCAGCCACCGAAAAAGTTGACTGAACAGCTAAAATGTAATCCAGTCAAACATAGGCTAGTGCAAATATAAGATATGATTTTCCACAGAATGACGACATCCTGGCATTGTGATAGCAAGTGTCCCCCGTCCTCGTCGCCGTGTGATTGCTGGCTGTCCAAAACACAGGTCCTGAAATATGACCAGTGGCTGCTGTCCGAGGTGTTGTGTCAGCTCACATGGTAACGTGTGTAGGTCAGAGATGCAAGCAGGTCCTGGATGTGCCATGGCGACTAAATATTAATATATTTAAAGCAAATATAACTGCAGGTTGCTATGACAAAACACCCTGCATAATTTCATAAGAAATACAGTGACACTGATGTGAAGCTAAAGTTATAACAAAATTGCAGACTGATGCAGTTTATGCAAGCTATAATAAATATAAAAATTCATGTATTTTAATTGGTATACATTTATAATTATGGCAATATCATTCATCAGTACATAGCTGCATATCCAATGCAGAGTTGGAGTAAGCTTGGAGCAAATACCAGGCAACAGGGATTTCAGTCCAGTGCAGGAAAGGATAGACGTGCTCACACAGAATTACTTACACCAGAAATTTAGACACTGCTACACCTAACTACAACTTTTTGGGCTGCATCATATATTATTACTCAACCCAGTACAGCTAATTTAGCCACCAAGGAAAATGGAATACCATACTGTTCACTTTTTTGCAGTGACATATATTTACAGTTTTGATAGAAAATTGTCAGGAAAAGCACTTTTCACCATGCACGAAGGTGCAGATTCTGAAATTCACAGAATCTGAGAGACACTTGATACAGTGATACAGTTTTTGTTGTGTGCAGCTTTATAAATTGTACTTTGATGATTTGTGGCGTGCACACGCAGACGCACGCACACACGCACACACACCAAGTGTTTCACTTTGATATCTAGGTCTGCTGTAGCAGGACTAAGAGATGCTTATTACCCAACGGTCAACTGTTTGCTTCGACCGCACAGGCATCTGTGAAATAAACCTTTTTCAGCGCTACAAATTTTCCTCTGCAACCTGTCACTACCATCGGAAATCAAACTGGTCCCACAAGAAGGAATATTAAATATCTCAAGGAACTGAGTGTATATATAATTTTCTCTCCGTATACAGTAGTTTTGGGATCAAAAACTAGGAGCAAATGTGGTTTCAAGTAGTGTTTCATGTCGTTTCCTTATCGTTGCTTTTGGACAGATGTGTTGCAGGATTTCCAAGCCAGATAAACATAGGTAAGTTTTATTTTCACGTACCAACTTAAACTGTGACATGATTTTTTATGTTAACTACCGTTCAGCTTATATATAGCTCAATAAAACACCAATGTTATTAATAATTAAGTGACAGAATCACAGAAGGTAAATCAATAAACTGGTATGTTCATGAAAAAAATAAAGAGAACCACTCAGCGGGTAAAATTCGATATCTTCTGATTCGAAAATATACGTATGAATAAGTATTTCATTAAGCTATATCTTCTCCGTATTTCTGGCAACTCGTCTGAAAACGGCGTGTATATTTGGTAGAATCTCAACATCAGGAGGACTCATGATTCCGCGTCGCTGTGGCTCATTTCAAAGCGGTCCCGTGTATGTTTTCGAGTGTCGAACAAACCGGTGAATTTAATTCACTTTTGTTTTCTCTTCTTCTTTTTTTAGGGGGACTTTTCATGCGATCTATGGTTCAGGAGCACAGCGCCTTTAGATTTGCTGTGCAGCTGTACAACACCAATCAGAATGTGACAGAGAAACCTTTTCATCTGAATTATAATGTCGACAATCTGGAGTCTTCCGCCAGCTTTTCTGTCACTCATGCGTGTGAGTACCCCTAATATATTATTAATGGCAGTTCATTTATTATTTTCCATTTTGTTTTAAAAAATACAAAATGTGCTAAGAATATATAACCTGGTTTTTATTGGATCTATTTAAAAGTACAAAATGAAACTTAAATAGGCTACTAATAAAAGCGACGGACCCCGCATCGTTTATGATTGCAGACGAATTTTGCATGCAGTGCCCGGACACCAGTTAGTTACTAAGATGCACATGATGTTTTATTAGCCTACTTTAATTGTGTGTAGCCTTGTCTAAGCATATACTATACTTGACGTTCTTTTTTCATTTTTCTATAAAAAAAATAAACATTTCTTGTGTTTGCCCTGTATTTAAATATAATTAACTGTTTAACATTTATTTCAGAAGAATGGTTATTGTGTTTTTTGAAGGATAAATACAAATTGACCTGCCGATATGTAAGAGTTGCAAATAAACGAATACACACGTTTCCTGTGAACGTGTGTTAACAGCCAAAATAGACTTTTTACGTTATTTACATAGTTTACGGTACTTTAATTCCTAGGAAACCTTCTGATCCACGCGGAAAGGCAATGGTTTGCATCGTGTTCCTTATCCATTTCTATATGGTTCCCCTAGGGATTAGCTTTCTAGTACCTGAAAAGGGTGCTGTATTTTTAGAACTTTATTTTTAGAATTTAGAGTGGGATTCTGATGCAGTTGACTTCCTTCTTTAGTCCAGTGTGTATGGATTTTGATACCATGTGAAAATGATACATTTATCAGAAGTACACTTTTAGAGAAAGTTAATCTTTCTGAGGACAAACAAGAATGTTGATATATTATGGGAATGATGTGGGTGGCAGGCTGGCTGAGTGTCCCCTGTGCCCTGTCCCCTGTCCCCTGTGCCCTATGCCCTGGGTGGGCTCCAGCCTGTCACCTTGATGAGCTACAGCTGTGAGCTGGAGCAGCAGCCCATTGGGTGTGTCAGATTGGTGTGGCAGAATTCCCCCAGCTGAGACATCGCTGGCTTCCATCTCCCGTGCAAACAGCAGAGTGTGCCAGTCCAGGACACATCGGAAAGGGATGAGGTGTGCAGAAGTATAAACTAGGGAGCCTGATAGGAGGAGAAATATTGTCTCAGAAAACACCCAATATCTTGATTCAGCCATTCTATCTGACGCTGAGTGCTTCATAGCCAGGATGTGGACAATGTCCTCTGGTGTCCCATTGAACCTGAAAGCTTGATTACATACACATTCAGCCAGTACCATTACATTAGGACCCAAGTAGTGGACCCAGCAGGCACATTATAGAAAATCTATCACCAGCCGCCAGGATAGGAGTGAACTCACTTGAAAGGAATAGATTTGGTATGGTAACCACTGCTAGGTATGGATCTGCAGGCGGGGCTGGCCTGGCCTTGTGGCATAGCAGGCAATTCCCCGGTGGGCCAGGAAAAGTTATTGTGGGGGTGATCGCTGTGAAAATCATTGTAGGGGACCCCCCAGTCCCCCAAATTGGCAAAACCTGTGGTGAACCTGTCTGGGCAAAATATCAGGACCAGTTTTTAATCCCAGTCCAGCCCTGTCTGCAGGAAGAGTCAGGTAGGAGAGGACAAAATCCTGACTATCATCTGTAAGTCTTGTTTAGGGGGGTTTCTGAGGGTCTGGGGTCTGTTTGGAATGGCAACCATAATCTCCCACTTAACAAGTGCTACTAGAGATGACCAGTAGTGTCCTCATAATGAATAACCCCCAGCTGTGAGTAAATAGCGCAGTCTGAAGACTCACCTGCTCGGCCTTTGATTGTCCATGCAATGCTCAAACATACAATGATTTCTATCTGGAGAAGTTCCATCTATCAGGATCAGTCCTTGTCCTATGTCAGTTCCCTGTTTGGCCAGCAGGTGTCGCTGGTCATCCCATGTCCTGTGCTCCCTCGTGTGTTTCCCAGCTCCCTGGGCTGCCGCAAGGATTAATGGGCTGAGCATGCAGCTAAGAGGCATACATCCTTACCATCAGTTTTTTTCCCCTACATTAATTATGTTCTTGTTGGTTCCTTGTTTTTTGTATCTCTGTCCCAGGTTATTCGTGCTTGTATCTAGTTCAGTTATGTTTCTGCTTTACCCGAGTTTCGAAGTATCTCCCAGTCCTTAGTGTCTGTTAAATCACCCTCACCTGTTCCTAGCTCCTATTGTCTAATTAGTAAACTTCCACACCTGTCTCTTACTCGGTTTTCCCAGCTGGTCGTTGTGTTTGCTCCTGATTATACACTCACCTAAAGGATTATTAGGAACACCTGTTCAATTTCTCATTAATGCAA